CAGGACCTAATCACCCCACAAGCGTTCCTATTCATCTTCTCCCATACCGCCTCTTCATATTTAGGTGACCTCTCGTGGACCATGATGATCTCTTCCAAATTCTGAGCATTGAGCGCATCATGTACGTCGCTCATCCACAAGCCAAAGTTGATTTTGCCATCATACTTCACCACACTAATCTTAGTTTTCTGAAAACCAACTTATATTGTACTCGTCATTGACTTGCTGCTTTCACCTTCTTCTCCCATTGCAAACTAACTCCAAATTGCAAAGAAAGATTCAAACTTTGAAAGGAATAAGAAGTTACCCAACTGAACCCTAGATTGGATTCCAAATAGAACTCCTAACCACACGAGGAAAGCGAGATCTACAACGGCAACTTCAAATCCTATTTCCACCAAAGCCTAGAACTCTAAGAACCAAGCTTCCAACTGAATCTTCCTCCACCTAATCCAAAACACCCTAGATCTGAAATCTGGGCTCTGATACCACTTGTTGCGCGCAGCGGAAATTTCGGTAGCACTTCGGCAGCACAACAAGAGAATCAGGTCGCAATAAGAATTCTTGTTTCTCAAAGGGAACAAGAATCTGAAGCCTAATATCTCATAAAAGTGGGATATTAGCTCTTCCTCTCGTCAGCTCTAGGACTGCGCGTCGAGGGAACCTAAAAGCTATTACAAATCACACAAATAGCAGTACAATTAATTTTTACGTGGTTCGACAAATTGCCTACGTCCACGGGGCAAGGAGGGGGGGAGATCCATTAATAGAGGGAGAGAATACAACTAGGGTTTACAATCACTCAATCTAAACCCTCAAACAAACTCTCAAATCCCTCATACAAAAACTCTCTCAAAAGGATGCACAAAACCCAAAAAAATAGACCTCTGCCTTTTTCTTTTGCACAGCCGCACACTCCTCTTCTATTTTCTCCTGTTCTGAATTTCTTCTGCCGAAAAAAAAAACAACCTAAGCCGGAAAAAATCTCTCTCCTTGCGCTGACAAAACCCTAGGAACACTGTTCCTTTATATAGCCTCCTGATAGCAACTTAATCAATCGGGTGGGCGTGGGCCTTTGTTCACGTCGCGTTCACATACTTGTGTGCCAACTTGTCATATTTAAGTTTTCTGTTGATCCCATTTATGCAACGGCTGTAGGGTAAATTATTGAAAACCATATGAGCTTTTGGAGAGTTGCAGCATATCGCTATCAATGTTTTTTTTATTAGACTAAAGCCAAGAACTTTAGGAGTTATGCGCAGCAACGAGCCCTAGAGTTCAGGGGGTTTATTATAATAAAAAAAAGCTGATGGGGGCTTACTGCAAGTCTGCAATTCCCCCAAAAGTTCAAGAGGGTTTTGGATTTCAGCTCATTGTCATCCAAGTAGTTGGCAAGTTAATTTAAAAGATGTTTGATGTGAATTAACAACCTATATATTATGGCCATTCGTCCTAAAAAATCAAAGTGCAAATCAAAATCTTTTAGAAAATATAGAAATGCATGTAGCATAAAACATCATTTTGGTTTTGAATTAATTTTGCATGAACTTGAAGAATTGTAATTAGGCAAGCAATAAAACCAGAGTATTTTGTATATTAGGATTTAGGACCGCCAACTGCAATATAAGGAACCGACAAGGAGATGATAACATGTGAAGTAAGGCGAAGCACGATCGTTTGTCCCGTGCATGCCTCACACTGGGCGTGTTGTATATGCATCGCAATAGATTTGTGCATGGTTCATGAGAGTAGCTCCGTATGATCCTTATAATTTGCGAGACAGAAATAATTTTGCAATTATATAAACAAAGGGCATACTAATGCTTTTATTATGAACTTGGATAAAATGCAACATGATGTGCTAGGTGATAAGTACTTAAACTCGGAGTGGTTTAATGCTTAAATTATTCCTTTTTTATCATATTAAATTTATCCCGTGAAACAAAAAGCTTAGAATTGGTTACCAACTAATATATATTCTTCCCTTTATATCTAACTAGGTGCTTTATGGCTTTTGAAAGAATTTTGAGACTTGCTTTTTTGACTAACTTCCTTTTTTTTTTAAAGGAACGCGTGCGATGCAAAACTGTGAAATGGTACACATGTAGGACAAATGAATGGCTAAGTATTACTGTTTTTGATAAGTGTTTTGAGATCTAGGAGGATGTTCTCCGGCATCAAAGTAAGATGGTCCATCTTGAAATGCCCTGCTGCAGGTGTTTTATGTGACCACAAAATACCCACCCTTGAAGTTGAAGGAAAGGCTTTTGTGGAGGTTAGATTGTTGGGATCCCTCCTTAATTGGGAAGATTCTAGAAAATTCTAGAACTTTCTGGAGAACTCTAGAGAAGTGTAGAATCCTCTAGAAGTGTGTGGAATCCTCTAGAATATTCTAGAGATGTGTGGAGCCTTCTGGAACATTCTGGAAGAGTATGGAATAGAATGGATGAATGTAGAGATTCCTTAGAAATCTCTAGAAAGTAAATATATGTGTGGAGAATTCTAGAGAGCTAATCTCCACCATTGGATCTAATTAATCCCCACCACTCATTATGAAGGTGTAGGGGTGTGCAACGGTCGGTTCAGTTCGGTTTTTTCCAAAATTTGAACAACCGAACTGAACCGCCTATAATTCAAAACCGAATCAAATTGTTGTAAGTCGGTTCGGTGCGGTTCGGTTCGGTTTGTTCGGTTCTAACTTCATCAAACTTATCAAACAACAAATTGTGTTAAAGAAAAAAATGTATCAACAAAGTAGGAGATTATGAAGCATTACACACTGATATAATGATATTGTTTTCAACCCATACTGATTCAGAAAATTAGTTTAGGGTTTGAGTTTTTGGCTCTTTGGGGACGTGTTGGGTAGGGTTTGAGATCAGAATGGGTAGTATTGCACTATATTCGGTCGGTTCGGGTCGGTTCGGATTGAAAAGTTTTCAAACCGACTCGAACCGCCCTACTCATAAAACCGTTTTTTTCGGGTCGGTTCGGGTCGGTTCGGTCGGTTTTTTCGGTTTGGACTGAACCATGCTCAGCCCTATGAAGGTGGAGTAGTATAAATAGGGGTGGAAGCCTTCATTCCTATCCATCCAAGACAAGAAAACAATCCACTTCCTAGAGTGAGAGAAAACCTCTAATATAGAGAGTTAGAGAGCTTCTTTGAGAGAGAAGTGAGATAGCTTGAGAGTCCTAATCCTCAAGCTCGAGTAAGCCGAGACAGTTTTGTAAAATATAAATTCTTGTAATCCTACTATTCTTTTGTATAGTGGAAGAACATCCATATTGGACGACCATAAACTCTTGTGCTCCCATTACTATCTTAATTTATAAGTGTCTATCTTAACATCACGAGGAGGGAAAGACAAAGTTTTCCCAACATAGATAAACAACATGCTTCAAGAATCAGATGTTGTGGTATTAAGAAACTCGTCAAAGGTAAGGTGGGAATGTTGAAATGTTTGATGACTATGTGTGCTAGTAACTTATAAGATGGGATTAATATCTGCACAAAGTAAGAGGCAGATTCAATTAGGTCTAAAATGATGAATAATTGGTTGATGGCTTGGACATGTGCGAGGAGATGAATAACTGGACCTATTAGCGATAATTGAGGATCATAATTATATTTATATTAATATTCTAACAATAGGCTACTCCCCTTTTGTTGAAATAAAGACGGGTCAGTCCTTCACCATTCACGATTCTCCTGAATTATATAAAAACAAAGAAAATTTTGGATTATAACTTCTAGTTTTATTAGCTTATTTATGATGTTCTCTACCTCTATCATAGAAGTTACAAGAATAAAACATACGAAGTAATGCATCACAAATATATGATGTTCTCTACCTCTATCATATATAGAAGTTACAAGAATAAAACATACGAAGTAATGCATCACAAATATATTTATACATTCCATGCATATATTTGCTTCTGTAGTAATAAATTAATATGAGGGTATGATATGTACATGCGCCCCTTAAAGTTTTCCATTTATAATTTTTTTTCAAAAGCTGAGAATGGTGTAGATGCCTTATGATTCATTGAGTAGTTAAAGAGTAAAATTATGTACTGAGCAATGATTCTTCATACGTTTAGGTGCACTGAACCTATACTTTGCGTTGAGAGGTAAGAGATCGATGGGCAGATTCAGGATGCCACCTGCATCCTGCTGCATCCCTTTTTCTTTTTTTAGGTCTATTTTCTTACTTAGTCTAGACAAGGTTATAAGCTGAAAAAAGTTGCAGGAAAAAAATGAATATAGTGAACACAATTCATTATGGCCCATGGGCAGTCATCTGGAGCCAGAATTTCTCATGCAATACACACCATCTCATTCATGTTGTTATATAAGCTTGCGGAATTTCTTGCCACATGCGTATGCACACATGCACGTAAACACGGGTGCGCACGTACGTGCATGCGCACATGCACACACCTGCGCACGCACACATACACACACCCAACCGCACACCCACACATGCACATATTAAACAGATTTTGTTACTCTTGTATCTGTCACAGCTTTTCTTGTTAAGGTCATTCACAATCTTCTGTAGAGGGACTGCTGCAGAGAGGAAGATAGCTGTTTTCTTTTCATTCTTCCAAAATTCCAATTAAGTGACATTCTTTGATATATCCGCATCATGCATGCTTCAGTTAACATTCTCATTTTATCATAGTTAAGATGCTCAAGCTTGTTACTCAGAGTGGACAAGGTGATATACTATGATGTATTTTGTTTTCGGTAAGTTTATGTTACTGCTTAAAGCTACGTAACTGCTCAACTGCCTCATCTTTTTCTCTCAGTTTGTTCGAATCAGTTCACCAACACCATCTACCAATTAACAATACAATGATCAATTTTAAGCAGGGCCCTCAAGTTGTTGCCTTTTTGGTACCTAAAGATAAGCAAACACCCTCCACTCACTTTGTACGTTCTTTTAATAGCAAGAAGAAGCACCCAAATAATCAAAACCACTATCAACACCAAGATCCTTGATCATTCTAGAAATAAGCTCTTCAGCACCTGTGACCCTTCTCTCGTTAACCTACGTGTATGTATCTCATTATAAAGCTACACATTTGAAGTCCTTCTACAGAATCTTGAAACCTTTGCATTCCAGAAAATCCTCTGCAGCCTGTTTGATCCTTTTTATTGCTCATATATTTGCCATCTTCCTCTTGTGACCTCAATGGCTGAACAACCGAAACTTGTGAAAATGTTTGGACCCTCATTGCAACAGCCTGCAGAGTTCCAGCTCAAAGAAACTAGTCCCTTCCTTGGCGGTGGACAAATTGTTGGAGGTCGAGTTTTACATTCAGAAAGGCCAACAAGCACATATGACCTCGTCGAGAAAATGCATTACCTCTTTGTTCGTGTAGTCAAGGCAAGAGACTTACCTCCTAAAGATGTCACAGGAAGCCTTGACCCTTACGTCGAGGTGAGGCTTGGCAACTACAAAGGAATCACGAAGCACTTCGAGAAGAAACTGAGTCCAGAATGGAATGAAGTGTTTGCCTTCTCTCAAGAGAGAATGCAGTCTTCAGTCCTTGAAGTCATCATCAAGGACAAGAACCTCGTGAAGGATGATTTTGTTGGCCTTGTTCGATTCGATTGAATGATGTCCCTACACGAGTACCACCGGATAGTCCTTTGGCTCCCGAATGGTTCAAGCTTGAAAACTTGAAGGGAGAGAGAGTAACTAAGGGTGAACTAATGATAGCAGTTTGGCTTGGTACACAAAGCCGATGAATGCTTCCCCACTGCGTGGCATTCAGATGCTGTGGCTTCAGCCGGCGCCTCTTTCCTGGGGTCCCATATCAGATCAAAAATTTATCATGCTCCAAGATTATGGTATGTTCGAGTGAATGTCATCGAGGCACAGGATATTGTAATAGCTACGAAGGATCGGTTTCCTGATTTGTTCGTCAAAGTTCAGATTGGCGGCCAGATCTTGCGGACAAAGACTGTTCAGGAACTTAAGGTTTTATGGAATGAAGACCTCATGTTCGTCGCTGCTGAACCCTTTGAGATCACATAGTTCTCTCTGTTGATGTTGGGCCAAATAAAGACGAGCCAATTGGAAGAGTTCAGATACCGATAGGATCTGTAGAACGACGACTCGATGATCGTATTGTTAGCTCTCGATGGTATAGTCTCGAGAAGCATGTCTCAGGAGACGCAGAACAAGCAAAGAAGGAGAAATTTGCAAGTCGGATTCATGTTAGAATTTGCCTCGATGGAGGTTACCATGTCCTCGACGAATCCACTCACTATAGCACTGATCTTCGTCCAACGGCGAAGCAACTATGGAAGCCTTCGATCGGTTTGCTTGAGCTCGGTATTCTCAATGCTGCGGGTCTTCATCCTATGAAAACACGCGAGGGAAAGGGAACTTGTGATACATACTGTGTCGCAAAATATGGCCACAAATGGGTACGTACACGAACAATTATCGACAGTCTAAATCCGAAGTACAATGAACAGTATACATGGGAGGTATACGATCCAGCCACTGTTCTCATCATTTGTGTCTTCGACAACTGTGAGATCAACGAGAAGGGTGGTGCTGGAAACAAAGACGCCAAGATTGGAAAGGTACGCATACGCCTCTCTACACTCGAAACTGGGAGGATATACACCCATTCATACCCACTTATAGTACTACAAAGTTCAGGCCTGAGAAAGATGGGTGAGCTCCATTTAGCAATCAGATTCTCATCTACTTCTCTAATAAGCACAATGTTTTTGTACTCAAGACCCTTACTACCCAAAATGCACTATATAAGGCCGCTGTCGATGGTCCAGCTCGATATGCTTCGTTACCACGCAGTCCAAATCGTAGCCTCTAGGCTTAGTCGAATGGAACCGCCGCTGAAAAAGGAGGTAATCGAATACGTATCAGACGTAGATTCGCATCTTTGGAGCATGAGAAGAAGCAAAGCTAATTTCTTTCGGCTCGTATCAGCTTTCTCGTGTTTCTGTGCAATCGGTAAATGGTTCGGGGATATTTGCCACTGGAAAAATCCAGTGACTACGGTACTGGTTCATCTTCTGTTTATACTGTTAGTTTGTTTTCCGGAGTTAATACTTCCGACTGGATTTCTGTACATGTTTCTTGTCGGTCTTTGGAATTATCGATTGAGGCCACGCCATCCTCCTCATATGAACACTAGGCTTTCGCACGCTGACGCAGCTCATCCAGATGAACTGGACGAGGAGTTTGATACATTTCCAACAAGCCGAGGCCCTGACTTGGTCAAGATGAGGTACGACAGGTTGAGGAGCGTGGCGGGGAGGATACAGATGGTGGTGGGCGATTTGGCGACGCAGGGGGAGAGGGCGGGGGCGTTGCTGAGCTGGCGGGATCCGAGGGCTACAGGGATTTTCTTGATATTTTGCTTGGTGGGCGTGCTGGTTTTGTACGTTACGCCTTTTCAGGTGGTGGCAGTGGTGGTCGGGTTTTACCTGATGAGGCATCCGAGGTTTAGGCACAGGTTGCCGGCAGAGGCCGTAAATTTCTTTAGAAGATTGCCTGCGAGGACTGATAGTTTGTTGTGAGGTTTACTACTGGTTTGTAATATTTTCTTTTCTGTTATGTGAAGAAGTAGAACTGGATGAATTATTATGTTCCTGTTGCTGTAATTCTTACTCAAATCCTGGTGTTGACAAACTATTTTATGATTTCCTTGGTCAATAATCTAAGAAGCTGCTTGGTTTGTTAAATTAAATCGTGTAACTTTTCAGATGAGCTCTATTTCTTCATCAAGTTTTCAGTTGATGAGAAAAAATGGAGACCTTTGAATTCCGCTTTGAACATGACTATTTTTTTCTAAGTCACCCTCTTTTTCTGTTATGATGCTCTTAAAGTCCACTTTAATTGACAGGTTTTGGTTATCTAACTATACCTAATGAAGACTTCAAGGATCTTTATATTCTCCAAATATTGAAGGTGATAATGACAAGAAATTACTAGGTACGTTGGTTTTCACTTATAGAATTACCTCTAATCTCCAAACATCTACCCAAATTATATTATAAATTAGTTGCACTACAGCTGAATACTAGCGCACTTTAGTTTGCATGCTGGGAATACAGCCTCTGAAAGACTTTGTTAATATTTCTTCTATTACAAGCGCGCGCGCACACAAATTGCAACTTCTATCGTAAAAGAAACGATGGAAGTTAACTCATGCAGATCCTCTGCAGAAAAAGAAAGACACAATTTCCCTAAAAGTTTGGTAATAAATTCATTTCCATCAAGCTATATAGATAGTGAAGAATTACAGGAAAAAGCAGAGAATCAGCCAGACAGAAGCCAGACAGACTGGCGGTCGACCGCCGCGGTCGACCACA